CGCGCTCTCTCTCTCTCTCTCTCTCTCTCTCTCTCTCTCTCTCTCTCTCTTTTTCTCTCTCTCTCTCTTTCTCTCTCTCTCTTTCTTTTTCTCACTCGCTCTCTCTCGACTCTTAATCTGTTTCTCCGCTATCTTTGTATTCACGTTGAATATCATGTTTACTACTATATGATAACGTAGTGATCAATTTCGGTTAATCGGTTTCATTCAAAGACCATAAAATAACGTATCCGATTGTATTGATAATAAAAATAACGTATCCGATTATATTCATAATAAAATAATGTATCCGATTTTGTTGATAATAAAATAATGTATCCGATTGTGTTCATAAGAAAAATAGATATCCGATTGTGTTGATAATAAAATAATGTATCCGATTGTGTTAGTAAGAAAAAAAACATCCGATTGTGTGAATAATGAAAGAATATATCCGATTGTGTTGATAAGAAAATAATATATATGATTGTGTTGATAAGAAAAGAATATATCCGATTGTGTTGATAAGAAAAGAATATATCCGATTGTGTTGATAATGACAGAATATATCCGATTTTGTGTTGATAATACGGTAAGGCGAGCCGACGCGGGTGTTCTACAAACTATTTTCTGTAACTGTAATTAATGGCAGCGTACGTGTCACAACATCAGACGAGGCTGCCTGGTTGCTCATACGTACACGCGTATGGTTGGTCTTCGTACTCAGAAATAGTTATCTGTACCGCGGTAGAGAGAATTCAACAACCGGTAGATTATGGCCCCTTTTTACCCAATCAGAGGCAATGTTACACATAATTTAACCGCGGTTGAATTATATTCACCGCGGTTAAACAATGTTTAACAATGCCTCTGAATCGGTAAAAAGTGCAATAATTTTACCGCGGTCGAAATAATCTAAATCTAAATACAAAACATAATTATATCTGACTACGACAGCACACAGGCACTATAGCATCAAGTTGCTCCTGCTACGCTGTCTCTATCTCTCTCTCTGTGTGTCTGCGGCATTCACTGATTCTACGAGACGTCTGAGTTTACAATGGCCGCCTGCATGTATCGATATGATGTTTTTCATATAAATTCTGCTCGTTTTCGATGTGAACAGAAGTTAGGTAGCGAGACAGAAATGTTCACAGCGAGCGCTGGAGCGTTTATGTTTGTGATTCGCCGTTGGCGCTTTGTGTTACCACGGACCGAGCTGTATATATAAATATATACGTATACTATACTACATACATCTATGTGTCTATATATAAAACATACGTATACTATATTACATACATCTCTATGTGTATATATAAATATATACGTATACTATACTACATACATCTATGTGTGTATATTAATACATATGTATACTATATTACATACATCTCTATGTGTATATATAAATATATACGTATACTATACTACATACATCTATGTGTATATATTAATATATACGTATACTATACTATATACATCTATGTGTCTATATTAATATATACGTATACTATACTACATACATCTATGTGTGTATATATTAATACATACGTATACTATACTACATACATCTATGTGTATATATTAATATATACGTATACTATACTACATACATCTATGTGTGTATATATTAATACATACGTATACTATACTACATACATCTATGTGTATATATTAATATATACTATACTATACTACATACATTTCATGTTCATATATAAAACATAGGTAACTATCACTACATAACCATCTATGTATGTATAATACTAACATAGAATGTATGATAGTATATAATATGTATGTATAATATATACACATATATGTATTAGTCATAGTACTCCGTATCTATTTTATATATACAGAGAAAGAGGAAACTCGAATAATAGTATGGCCAGCATCCGGCTGCCTCGACAGACAAAGAAAACCTTATAATAATAGGTTCATCCGCTACGTGATAACATAGAATTCAGTCATACATCACGCGCCAATCTAGTGAATAGCTTATCATTCAATTAATAAAAATAAAAATAAATTGTTAGAATGGACGAAGTGACGAAGGTGCACGTGTTAGCGTAGGAAGTGCTCGGACACGCTTATATCTAATTTAATTATATATATATATTATGATATATATATAGCATATGTATATATATTATATGTATTTATTATTATTATCATGTATTTATATTATTGTATATTCATAATAAACATATATATCTATTTTTATTTTTATTTTATTTAATAACTTTATATTTTTAATCTAATTATGCTAATATTTCTAATAGCTTGGCCGGTAACATCGCTTGTTAATTATAGTTATATTAATATTATTATATTATTTATTCTCATCATTAATACATTTTTTAAATATTAGCAATAAACAGTTTCTACTGCGGACAGACAAGACTGCCGCGACTGTGACTCCGCAGCGCCATCTATTATCTCGTCTATTACCTAAATTCACCACCTGACGCGTTCTCTCACAACGACGAACTCAGCCGGAATCGTCACGTAAAATCCCAGAACGGTGCGAGTCGCGAGCTAACGGACGTCTTGTGAGACACGACACAGATGCATCTTCGCTTAGCGATTATTTCGCTAAAGTCGCATTCCTCACGCGCAACAGCGTATAGCGATGTGGATACAGACGCCAGAAGAGAGGCAGAACGACCTTCAGAATTCAATCAATGGCAAACTTCTACCTATAGGAGAGTACAGAAGAGAAACGCTCATACAGTGACATAAACACACACGCCACGTGCACACGCGGGCACCCCAGCGCGGCACACCCACCGCCGCACACGCGCTAACACAGCACACGAGACGCACACGCACCCGCGCGGCACGACATCCATACACACACACGAACGCGCGGCACAAACGACAACACAACACTGCCAGGGGCGCCGCGCGCGCCCGCAACACACACACCAACCCAGCGTGAACACACACAATGCACACATACGCACTAAGCGCGGCATGCACACAACGCACCAACACCTTGGGCCACCACTCACCACACACCTCGTGCGCACACAGCTCACATAACCACATGCGCGCGGCGCACACCAGCGCGCGCAGAACCGCCGCGGCCGCACATGCTCGCCGGGCGCACACACACCACGCACGCGCGGCACACACAACACACACACACCATCGACATGCGGCCTGGCCACGAACCCCCTCGCCCCGCCGCGTACACACTCCCACCCCCGCCCGCCGCCGCGGGGGGCGAGCCACACAACTCACACACACGCACCCGCGCCGGCGCACAAACAACAAACGCGCGCGCGCGGGCGACACTGCCACACACCGAACCGCCGCGCGCCGCGCCGCGCACACACCACATCGCCACGCACTCAGCGGCCACACACCACACTCCGCCCGAGAGCACACACGCACGAGCGCGGAAACACCGACCCCCACTAACGCGCAGCCGGGCGCACATGCACACACGAACCGCGCGCGCGGGCATCACACTTACACACACACGCGCGCCACACACAAACGCGCCGCCAGCGGGCGCACACTGCCACAACCCCACACGCACGCGTGGGCGTGGCACGACAGATAGGCAAACAAAGACATAGATTGGAGAAGAGGGAAAGAGAGAGAAGAGAGAGAGAGATCAGCGAGAGAGATGAGAGAAGAACATGCGACAGAGAGCGACAGAAAGAGAAAGAAAGAAGATAACAGATAAAACAACACACTGCCCGCTCACCCGGAGCCCCCCCCCCCCCCACCCCCCCCCCCCGCCCACGAGCCACGCACCGCACCACCCCCACCGCCCACCACCGCGCACGAACGACACCCCCCCGCCACCACCCCCCGCACCCGCCACCGCCCCCCCACCACACCCGCCACCCCCCCCACCCCCCCCCCCCCACCCCGCCCCACCGCCCCCCCGAGAGAGAAAGAGACGCAGCCAGACCAGCCACCCGCCACCCCCGCCCACCCGACCCCCCGCCCCACCCCCCGCCCCCCAGAGCCCCCCCCCACCCCCCACGCACCCCGCCCCCACCCGCCCCCCACCCGACCCCCCCCCCCACCCCCCAAGATGAAGCATACCCCCCCCACCGCACACACCCCCCCTAACCGCACCACCGCCACGAGCACAGACCCCGACCCGCCCACCCACCCCCCGCACGCAAGCCCCCCACGCCACGAGCAGCACGCCCGCACCCCCCACCCCGCACCCCCCCCGCCACGCCCGCACACGCACCCGAGACGCCATGACCACAACCCCCGACCCAAGACACACCACGACCGACCCCGCCACCCACCCCGCCCCCCCCCACCCCCCCCCCCCCCCCCCCGAGCAGCAGAGAGAGAGAGAGCGAGAGAGATGAGCGCACGGCGCAGCTGCGCCGCGCGCGCTCGATGAGAGAGAGTAATCCACCAGCCAGACACACGGAGTGAGAAGACAGATCAAGACAAAGAAAGAGCAGTCAACAGAAAGAGAGTCAGGAGAGCGACTGCCGCTGCCTACGCACACTCCACCCGATGGCAGTTTCGCTTCCTCGCAAGAGAAAGGCACGAAGGGCGAACCGGGTGCCCGACACGCCGGAGTTAGCTGTCGTGAATCGTCTGCCGGGTGCGAATCGGCTCCGGCGCTCGGGGAAGATCCGGCGGTCCACGATGGCATAAAAGTACTCGAGGTAGGACCGAATCAACTCCGCGACGCCCTCTCGGAACAACGAAGTCGCCTGCAGCATGCGCAGTGCGCCGGGCACCCGGCGACAGCCACGGTCAGGCGTGACACCGCGGCCATCCGGCACACTAAATGACCGTCGGACGGCTCGGTAGAGCAGCAGCAACCGGCCCCCTCGTATATGGGAACTCGGCTAGAGAACCGGCTCATGCATGGGAACGCTCGGCACCCAGGCGAACGTGGGCAGAGAACGTCCAGCAGGCTGAACGTCAGCAGGGACCGGTCTGCATGGCAACGTCGGCAGGGAACGTGGGCAAGGAACCCTCGCAGGAACGTGAGGGTAGAGAACGTCGCGCCACAGATTGTTCCATAGAAGATGTACACTCCACGACGCTGTACCTAAGCAATTATTGTACACATAAAGATTACACCTTTTGTACACCTACGGGTAAAATTTATCACTCTGAACACTTATGTATAACGACAGATAAACATTATGTAGAACAGTGAAACACCACTGTAGAACGAGGTGAAACACATGTATAGAATATCCAGATAACATATTGCACACGAGGCAGTGAACATAATCACAGCCCAAAGGTGAACAGATGCACCAACAGGCTGAAACATATGGCCACAGCAGCGATAAACGAGATTGCACTCAACAGGTGAACATATGCACAGCAGGTGAAACAATGCACAGGGCAGGCAGATACATCATGCACAACAGGTGAACATGATGGCACAGGCAGTGACATAAATGAACAGCAGGAAGAGACAGTTGCACCAGGGTGAACATATGCACCAGCAGGATCGAACATATGCACAAAGGCAGACTCCGAACATAGTAGCACAAGCAAGAAGTGAGAAATATGCAGCAGCAGGTGAACATCGAGTGCACAACAGATGAAACATATGCACAACAGGCTGATACATACGCACCAGCAGCGTGAACCCATATGCACAACTAATGAACCATATGCATTCACAGGTGAACATAATTCACACAGGTAACATAGTGCACAGCACGTAAACATATCACAGCAGGTGAAACATACTGCACAACAGGAGAACATAATCACAACAGGTGAATCCATATCAACCAGGCAGGTGAACAACATGCAACAACACGTGAACATATGCTACAACAATAACATATATAGACACATATGCACAGACCAGGTAACATAGCACAATCAGTAAACATGAGCATGCTACAGCAGGTGAACATATTGCACAGCAGGTGCAACCATAATGCACACATAGGCAGCAACCACGTATACACAATGGAGGAACCCACCGTATACAAGTGGAGGAACACTTGCCCGAATTCCTTCCATCTTCACAACAAGCTTCCTCATTTAGATCGGTACCGCGCGGAAAGATCTCAGTCTCCTACAAATGTTCAGGCCAATGGTACATCAGGGGCAAGCTTATGGATTAAGATCATGGGTGACTAATCAGTGTCAGTGTTCAGTATTTAGTGTGGATAATGATATGGTTTAAAGTGATTACGTCACAGTCAAATAGTCAACGTGTAAAAAAATCAATGTCCCACCTTTTTCCAGCAAATATTAAGTAGATTCTTCCACGTTTAGACCATTCGAAAACCTTGAGCACCATTCTAAAGGTAAACCATCCCTTCTGAGTCGATGTCTGGCGGTGGCGAGAGCGATCACGTGCCATCGTGGACAATAAGTGTACAACTTCAATTATACGGATAATAAAATACTGACAAACCAATACGA